GGGGCATATTCGGGCCTATTTTGGTTGACAGAGGCGGTACCGGTGTTGAAGGCTATCAGGTATGAACTATTTTTGTTGTCGAGATACAGCAGGAGGTGATTGGGCAAGTATCGTGAGCGATACTGGCCGTCTGCGGCGGGAAAACCAGCCGAATGTGTACCGCTTTGTTGGTTGTTCGCATCAGCAAGTGAGTGCAGCGTGTAATCAAGAAAGGATATCACACCTCCCGGCCTGGTTTTCAAAGCTCGGTATCTCGCCGGCAGGACGAGGGGCGGTGCGAGATTAGCGGCGGTCGGAACCGTCTCGTCGAGGACTTTCCGAAAACGTTGCAGTTGTACAGCCTCTTTGTGGTAGAGTAATGGAGCTGTGAAAAACGATCCAGGGGTGTGTGATGTCTTGCGTCATGACCTACGGTACTGGTTCACTGATGTCAAGTGCGAGTTGCTCTTGTACCAGTATCTGATGACATCAAGGCGTGGTGTGCCTGTCCAGGATCCAGGCATAAGAGCGTCTCTGGGCAAAAATGTCGTCTTTGAGTGTACCAGGAATGTGTATTTTTTTTATTTTGACGATCGTTCTTCGTCTTGGTTTTTAACTTTTGCACTGCTGTGCGCAGAAGTTCGGCTTTTACGCCGCTATTCGATGAAAATAAGACACAGGGTGTTTGTACGGAGAGCGTTTCACGAAGGGCGGGGCGAGTCCAGCACTCCCCGGTGCGTCGTCCTTGTTTTGTTTTTGTGAATTGTGCGTGTCCTCTCTTGTCGGTATGTAACATGCGTTCTACTCTTTGTTCGCCTCACGAATGCACCCCAGTCTCGTGTCTCCCTTTTGCGACGGGGGGGGGGGGGGGGGCGTACTCCTGTTTTCCTCAGAGCAGAATGTGTAAGTGCACGTGGCGTACGTGCGCACATCTACGTAGATGTTGTGTGGACTTTTGTGGGGGCCGGGTTGCTTGTGTCCGTGAAGATGGTATAGACACGTAAGGTCGATGATTTGCGTGGGTGAGTTTGTATGCGCTTTTGATAGCCGGGACATGGACAATACCCAGTTGCTTGCTTGCTTCACCCGATTCGCGGGAGAACAGCTGCGACACACGAAGCGATGCAGGTGAAATATGCGCGGGTAGCGTGCGTTTTCCCCGAAGATTGGTGTTTATTTCGAAAATGCGACCAAACATCAAGCGCTTGTGCATTTTTTTTTTGTTCGGTCAGCCCGAGGCTGGTGATTCGGTGATTTGAGCACCCTAGCCGCTTAGAAGCTTGGATGCATATAATCTGACACGTGTGGGGACCGGCGTCCTCAAGCGATGAAATCCTCTTTCCCGTCGACAAGGCGGTACGAAGGTATGCTTGGGTCAGTGCCGCGTGTACCGGGTGTGGTGGATAGCCGCACTTGAGAACCTCTAGCATCGGGCTCATATTATATTTCCTAGGGTCAGGCTACATGTGGCCGCTCCTAGGCTGCACGTGGCCGCTACATACATAGGTTTTTGTGTAGGGTCTTTTTTAGGCTCACACATGGTGCTTGAGGTGTTAAGTTTTAACATCATGTTGAGCATGGAGTTATTAACTGTGCCAAGTTCTGAAGTTGTATGTGCGGGGCGTTCGCGTGTGTGTCCCTTTCGTACCGTAAAGTCGTTCTAGGCAAGAGTGCAGTATTACAGAAGAAAAATCCTTGCTTGCTAGTGCGCTTAGATTTGCGAGTGTGCAGGGATGGAAGTGACGTCGATGGTTTGTCGATACTACTGTGGGTTTATTTGCGTCCCCCGTAGTACCGGTGTGGGGTGGTATTCTAGACCTTTTGCATTAAGGTGGTATTCTACTTGCCTGCCTATGTCGCAAGGTGAATGCTTGCATTCAGCCATGTCCGCGGTAGCAGCAGCAGCAGGAGCAGCGTTCTTTCTTTCTCGTTTTGTAGGCCACGAGGAAACAGTAGGCGACTCCGCATAGTATGTCGAGATGTAGATGGTTCCCCGTGTCGTAGGAAGCGTGCTGTTCGCTACCAACCGCTGTACGACGTCCGGGTGCGAGGAGAGCGACTGTGGGCAGCGGAGGGCCGCGTGCGGGGTGGGGGGAACACAATGAACCTTATTTCACATTGTCAACAGTCGTCCGTAAGTGAGATTGCTGCATTTTTTCGTGTCGCGTGGGGGGACACACAAACATGGCTTGTCGCACCAATCACTATTTTGTCCAAGATGGAGGAAGACTCGAGAAAACGTACACCACTTCGATATTTGAGATGGAGCGTGGCAGGTATTCACTGGTGCAAAGGGAGAGGCTGCGGCCGTCTCTGTCTTTGTAGGTAGTCCGAAGACGACCGCATTTCGCGAGAAATTAAGTTGTACCATATAGAACAGGAAGGGGGTACGCAGACCCTATTCCCTAACCTTAAAACCCTAACCCGAATTCCCCGATTGCACCCACCCTTCGTCCAACGTGTTTGCTTGATAGAAAAACCGTGCGAAGGATACTGCGAGAAAAACGATGACAAACCAATCCCCCTAATTCCCAAATTGGAAAGTGGGGTCTCAGTCGCCGCCACAAAAAAGAAGCACCAGATGAAATCTGTCACGTCGTGGAGTCTACTGTGAAACCGGTTGTTTTAGTCCGGTATCAAGAGGCACGAAAGCTACACGAACGAAACCAGAACGGCCCCCTTCCGCAAATGACAAGCCCAACCCGCGTTACGGTCCGCGTTACGGTTCTAGGTGTCGTTTGTCCGCGATTCAGGGGACAAAGAGAAACATCCCCGGAACGCCCGGGACGGGGTTATGGGGTTTGAATGGTGACAACTCTCAACGGTATTTGCGGAGTAATTCCCTGAGGAAAGCCGGAGGTGTAACTCCGGATGGAAGGATAAAACAGGGGCCAGGACCTTTGTGGCCCCTTTTAGAGGAATCACGTCCTCCCCCCGTGTGCTCATTCTACCCTTGAGAGTCAAGCAACAGCAAGTACTGCTGTTCCAAGAGATTAAATAACCAAGTAAGTGAGTCTTCATCAGCAGGGTCGTAAGGGATCGCTACGCGTGTAATCCCACATCAACAACAACGGGACAAGAAAAAGAAAACCGGATCGGAGAATCAACAAATAAATTTAGAAATTATCCGTTCAGAAAATCTCCGGAGATTTTGATTTTGTTCGACCGAGGGGATGATTCATTTCTTCCCCTCCCGCTGATCATTCGTTCTCTTCCCGGTCACAATGACCAATAATCAATACTTCGTGTTCCTTTCAGATTTCGACCTACTAAGTAACGTTTTTTGTGGGTGAGCGTTTCTCTGCACCCACTGGTCCGATTGGGGTGCCCGATGGCTTGTTTGATGGCTGTGTGGCCGTGCAAACACAGTGCAAGTCTTCGTAGGGCAAACAGTGCCCTGGAGATAGAGTTTGGCCTGGTGGGGAAGATATGGGTTAGTCTATCTGCTCCACCGGCCTTTGAGACACTGAGCCCCCGTTGGCGGGCGTTTCTCTGCACCCACTGGTCCGATTGGGGTGCCCGATAGCTTATTTGATGGTAGCTGTGAGCTGTGTCAACACGGTGTCGTCAGATTCAGGCGCGGTTCAGCTATCTATGTGACGGGAGGTATGGCGGGGCTACAGTACTGACATTTAACATCCCCCCCCACGCTGCGGAACCCCCTCTGTGGACCATACCTCTGCAGCGACGTATGGGATATGAGTGTCCAATAGCTTGTATGAACGGCATGGACCGTGCCAACACGATGAAAAAGATGTTTTGGGTCAACTGCGTGGGTGGAAATTCGAGACGACTACCACTTTCTGAGACGCTTGTAGTCAGGTCTCTGTAGCTACTGGTCTCGAATTTTCACCCACACACTATCTCTTGTAGCCACCGGTCCGATTCAGCTGCTAAGCAGCGTTTCAGATAGCTGTGGCGCATACCTACACGATGCACTTGGTTTGAGGTCGATTGGAGCTCTCTGGGCGGATATCTGGCTGGTGGAGCAAATATGAATTTACTCCGCCGGCGGGTCAAATAGCATGGCCGAATTCAAAATTTATACCAACCACTCGTCGTGTGACATGAGAGCTGTGCGTCGTTCCTGCCCGGTGGAGCAGGGGTACACCACCCGCCGGTGAGTAGCAGTTTTGCGGGTTCGAGTTTCGATGCAGACGAAAAATCGATAGGGGAACATGAAAAATGTACAGCCTGGTCAGATTTCGCCCCGTCCGCGAGGCGTTCCGTTCATCAGCGAACTTGGACGGCGTTCGCGCCTCTCGATATCAATCACAACCACCAATATCATATGGATGATCGCCATGCGGAGATTGCCGAGTTCACCACTCAGTGGCCTCGTAGACCGTTTCTCAGGAGATTGCGCAGATAGTTGCCTCGGAGATCTTATTGTAGTCGTTTTTTTTTGGGCGCACCGGAACTCAAGTCTCTTAGACTTGCTGGGCGTGTCGCCTTAACCACGGTCTGGATACATGGCAACGTTCCTGGAAAGTTACACTGCCAAGTGAGCCATGCATCTACTGTGTACCTGGCGAGGTCACCATTGTTCACCTAAACAACACAACGACTTTTGAGAAAACTGTACGAACACACGCCCAGCAATTCCTCACTCCTCACAATGCGCCTCTTGGGCATACATGCGCGGCGTGCCGCACATTGATTATCCCGAGCTCGTCGTGCTGGGAGCCGAACACCGGTTTCGTGCTGCCGTCTTGACCATATGGCGGCCGCTTCGTACACCCTGGGTGGCCGCACCTGATGCCGATGACATCAACCATACCCTGTCTCGCGTGCGGTCGCGCGTGCTGTGCACAGAACTCCGCCTTCTTGCTGCCATCCTTGCCAAATGAGGGCTTCTTCGTGCAATCCGGATGGCCGCACCTTCTGCCATGGACGGGGACCATACCCTGCTGGCTGTGCTGACCGCAGAACTTCGCCTTCTTGCTGCCGTCGGTACCATACGGCGGCCACTTTATGCACCCTGGATGGCCGCACCTCTTGTTGGCGGTATTGACCATGCCCTGCTGGCTGTGCTGCGCGCAGAACTCCGCCATGTGGTTGCCATCTTTACGGTATGATGCCCTCTTCGTGCACTCTGGATGGCCGCACTTCATAACACGGACATTGACCATACCCTCCTGCCTGTGCTGCGAGCAGAACTCCGGCTTCTTGCCGAGGTCGTGAGCGTATGACGGCCACTTCACGCACCCTGGGTGGCCGCACCTCTTGCTGGCGGTATTGACAATACCCTCCTGGCTGTGCTAGGCGCAGAACTCCGCCTTGTGGTTGCTATCTTTACGATATGGTGCCCCCTTCGTGCACCTGGATGGCCGCACCTCCTGCCACGGACATTGACCATACCCTCCTGGCTGTGCTGGGTGCAGAACTCTGGCCCCTTGCTACCGTCTTTTCCATATGACGGGAGCTTCATGCACCCTGGATGGCCGCACCGCTTGCTGACGAGGTTGATCATGCCTGGCTTGGCATGCTGTGAGCAGAACTCCACCTTTTTGCTGGGGCCATTGCCGTATGATGATCACGTTGTGCAGCCGTCCTCCTGGCAGAACCGTTGCCTCCGGCGATAGTGTATGGAGGTCGTATGCGTTGACTGTAGGGGCATACGGTGTAGAACATGGCGGCGGACAGCAACACTTCAGCGGTAAACGGGTCAGTTTCAGAGCACATATGCGAGCGACGTCGGTCAGAGAAGCCAGAGGTAATCCAATACACTACACGACACAGGATAAGGGCATCCCTGCCCCCGATAAAAAGTTGCTCAGTCTTGTCCACGATCTGCGTTTTCCAAGTCCAGGGGGACAGTTTCGGCCGTAGTTAACAGGTGGCCTCTCACGCGAGAACGCCACTGACACAGCAATTGACGGGTCGCCTTCATCCTTCAACTGCGTTGGGTCTGTTCGGTTACCGGTTCAAGCGCGTGTTCCTCCACAGCACGGTTGCTATCCGCACACGGTTTCCGACGTGCCTCATACGATTCCAAACCCGTCTGGAAAAACGGGCTTCGTTGAGTTGTGGGAAACCCTGCCTCCCTTACTCAACGCCGCCAGGAAAACATTGTGATAGCAACTCGACGAGTATCGTCGCGTTGCCTGTCTGGAGTTTTCCAGTCTTTAAGCGGATAATCAAGTCAAGAGCGCACACAGCCCAGCGACACGCTCGCTCACCGAGTACGACAAAACGTTCTGCACACAGAGTAGGTGGCATAAGATATCACACCCCCTGAACAAACTTTCAAAGCTCGATTTCTCCTCGAGCAGAAAGAGTGGCCGGGCGGCGTTAGAGTCGATAGCTTTCCGAAAACAAACATATTGCTTGACATCCGAAAACAAACGTATCGTTGGACATCCTCGTCGTCGTGGACTAACATTATATTTTGTCACCTTGTGCCCTGGATGGCTGTAGTACACATTTAACCACAAAACCGGGGGGGGACTGTCGCCATAATAAAAAGGACGAAAAACACACACACAACTAACCTTGATTTTACCCGCTGGCACTGATATATTCTCAGTGGTCAGCCGGTTAGCGCGGTCGATGCAAATAATAAAAACACACAACTAAATAATAAAAGCACCACCCACCATACTCCAGCTAGTTGAATTGAAACCTCCCATTACTTGCTGGAGACCATGATTCATTTTGTTTTTCGCGCGAAGTTATAATAGAGCCGACCTCATGCGCACCTGAAAAAAACGTCATTCTTCGACCGGCCTTGACCGGAGAGAGAGAGAGGGCACTTATCACTACGCCCATCCATGCGTATGCACTCTTTTATGGCGACGGACTACATGCTGTCAAGAACCCCGCAAATCGTCTCGCTGATCTGTTTCGTCTACATCATACGCACGCTCACACCGGAATGAAAATGAGACCGCCACCAGAACGCGCTCTCCGCACGCTGGGAAACAATCCGGGACTAAGTGAATGCGGACCCCAGGAGATGTACTTTTCATAGTAGGTTTCCTCTCCGAAACGAAAGAGCCGGACGGGAGAGAAGGAAAAGAAAAAAAAGCAGACGCGTAGTACGCGTTCTCCGTCATCATGGACATATCACAGAGTCATATTGCGGTATGGTGGCAGGAGCCTCTCTCTGCACGATTAGGTCAGAAGGCCACCAGTCCCCGGGGCTCTTCTGTTGTTGTTGCACCCACCCATGGACGCAGCAGTAGTAGCGCATGTCCTGCAGTAGACCACTACTACCCTGAAAATATTGGAGACCACGAATCATACCGATAGGTGGGTTGTGGGTGGGCGGGGGACGCTAAGAAACCGTCTTACACAGCCAGTTTCTTAGAAAGTACACCCTCACAGTTTTCTTACAAGCAAGAATGAAGGGCGGCAAAAAAAGAGAGACCGCTATCGACAGGAAACAAAAAGTAGAGGAGAGCAGAGTGAAGAAACCAGTGAAGAAACAAAGCACCCTTGCCGTTCTGACTCACCGGAAGCTTTCCATGTACTACAGCCAACAGTAGGGGCAGCACACACTCCAGTCGGGTACACGGACTGGTAGTTTAGTCCCTTTCACTCGGCAAGAAGAAAAAAGTCCGCGCGAACTTGCATTTGTGGTCACAAGAAAGAACATTATTCATGATGCATCATGATGACGTACGTCATTCTGCTTGCCGTGGGAGATGCGCATCGCTACGGGAGGCAGGCGTTAACCCCTCGCATAGAATGTGCTGCCATAGACCCTACCCCTCAAGCTCAACCACAGCCACACCCGATACATCGTAGCATCATCTCTCACCCAGCAACGAGAATCGAAAACAAACTGTTTTCTTAGTGGCGAAGCGGACCCTCTTTCTTGTGACTGTTCGCGGTTGGAGACATGGCGACACAGACAGACAATATCTAGGGTTTTGACGCCGTTCTTATCCGCCGCAGGAGGTGGGAGCTACTCAAAGTCGGGGAGGGGTCGTGATATGCAATTTCCTACGGAACCGTGAGGCGCCTGAGATTTGCACTGCTGTAGCCGAGATTGTTAGTCGGCAAAGACACTTAAAAAAAAAAAATCTTCGGCGGACCGGACCCTCTTTGTTTCAACTGGCCAACTGTTGTTTGGATGGCGACAAAATTTCCGGTCTTCTTGTCCGTCACAGGAGGCGGAAGCTGATGCTCAAATTCGGGGTCATAATTTGCGATTCCCTACCGAACCATGCACTCACTCGGGGCACCGTATCATGGACATGGCAAGAAAAACATCCCCCGAACGAAAACTGCTGATATCAATGGGTGGGTGGTTGAGTGGGGAACCCCAAAACAATAAAACAATCGCGATTCGCGTTGTTCTGGGGACTCCACCTGCGAAAGGCGAGAGAGGTAGAAGAAGCGAGCGGAGAGAAGCCAAGGCGTTGTCGCTCGATAAGACACTCACTCACTCTCGTCCCTCTGACCCATTGGAAGCTGTCGGCAATGTACATGCAACAAACATAACTATCGGCGACATCGGATACACTGATGATGTTCATAGAACTATGCTGGGTACTGCTGCTGTAGTCTCACTGAGCAAGGAACAACAGTCGCAGTCGCGAGCTATCGACGCTTTCTCTGTGGTGTAGGGACAACATACAAAAAAGAACACGACTACGCAACACGGACGAACTACTACCTCAATACGGTTGCCGTCCGTGATACATGCGCACCGACACAACATGAGCAAGGCGTCCCCCGGTCTCATAGCTCACTACCTAGTACATGAGATCGTGCTGTCATCGATCTCATCGCTCAAGATACATGCTATGCTACGCACAGCAAGACGCTCAAGTTACACAAGCGGGAAGATCTTGCGTAGCATGCGGCGCATCGTCTAGTCTGTTGTTTGTCTCTCCAACTGCCGCTGTTCATGGATGACGACTAGCTAAATGACTACCCAGAGAAAAGAGTAAAATACGTGCTATCTACGGGAAGAGCAAAGCATGCAACCCCAAGCGACAGAGACGATTGATTACCTTACGCGCAAATTTCATCAAATTCCGAGCATATACAGCAGCCGCATGTGCAACGGTTATAAATCACAAACTCAAAAAACAAAATGGTGGCGCGCAGGACGCAGGACCCTCTTTCTCTGTTCAACCGGCCGTTCCCATGGCGAAACGGACAAGGAACAGTCAGGGTCGAGTCGTGTCGGCCACGAGACGTGTGAAGCTGTTCAAATTCGGGGAGGGTTCATGGTTTGCGGTCCCCTCCCGAACCATGCGTGAGGCGCCACGAGATTTGTACTGTAGCTCGAGAGCTCGAGATCAGCATTTGAGACCGGGTCGGTCAAGGGGTGGGGGATACGAATGAAAGTTCCACACACGGGTATCGAACGAGGAGACAAAAGCTAAAGCTTCAGAATCTTGCTACCTATACACCGATACAGTAAGTGCGAACTGATTGTGCGAATTTGAGACTTCTCGGCTACTGCTGGTACGGCCGAGTTGCAGTAGTAAAAGCGCGTTAGACACTCTGAAGGTAGCCCTCTTGTCTATTGACAAACACATTCAAAACCAAACCATTCAAGAGAAATTGTATTGCCCGTCTGAACACCGCCAACCGTGTATCGCTAGAGTTGCAAGTATCGCCGGTTTCCTCTAAGCATCGTTGCTTTTTGTAGTATTTGATAGCGCTTTCGCAAGTTCCCAATTCCGACAGCTGCGCAGGTGCCCAGCAAAAGTCAACCCTACCCAACCAAACACCAACTATCAGCTGTCCAGAAAGCTGGGCAAAGTATGGCGGACGTGCTTGACAAACCTAAGCAACGCTTGCACGGGTCAACCCCACAGTCGTGATCCATCGCATAGAAACGCGACAAGAAAAACACATCGACTCACCGGGTTTGTGTGGTGCCGTCGTCCTACTGCCCCCGCATTGTTCCTTTGCTCCTGGCGAGGAGGTCGTCCGTTGGCGCTTGGACGACCCTCCTGCGGGACTGACAATCAAACACGAGTACACAGGCGAGAGGCAACGAAACACCTGGGTGATCTACAACGGAACGTGATTGACTGTACAACCGCAAATCGAGTTGTATTATCATGGGTCATGACGTTAGGTGAATTCGCCCCTGAATGCCGTTCACTTGAAAAAGTGCGAACATATCGCCCGTTTACATGATCGATGTGGTGCAGACAATTTCCAGGTTGACGCGAAGCACGCAAACGCCTAGAGGTCCCAGCTGCCACGAACAACGTACAAAACGTTCCGGAACCAATCGAAGCCACTTCAGAGTGGCACGCTGGTATAGCTCGTCGATTGCTTCGATCTGTGATGTAAGGATATTGAGAATGCAGACCCGTCAAAAAGGTTGGCCCAGCACTATCCACCGGAGGGGCAGACGGGGGGGGGGGGGGGGGGGTGTACTCATAGTCGTGCATGCCGTAGTCGTTTGACCATTGACCTCGCATCCCTACAAAGCCGGGACGGAGCACGCCGGGTTCTCACCGGACCAGGCTCTCACATCACCAAGCGCGAAGCGCCGTGAGGTATTTGGCGAGTCGCATGAAGGGTGAGCTGCATCCTGCTAAGGGTGTTCGGCATCTTGTGCTTACTTCCTTGCGTACGGATGACAGCTACGTATGACTTAATTTATTTTCTGGTGCTTTCACTTCCAGAGACAGTTGTAAGCACTGTGTAACTGCCTCGAGGAAGCTTGACCATTTTAACACAACGTGGTGCGATCATCCCCCGTTGCGCGGAGTGAGGTTTCTCGACCCCGCACAACATGATCTACTCGACCACCATTATGGTTACCGCCAAAAAAAAAACCAGAGGTAAAAAAAAAAGACGGTAACCTGGTTGCCGAGTTCACGAAGTGAATTGGCTTGTTTTACAACGTCGTTGCCAATCGACGAAAATCCAATCCCGATGGCAAACACCGAGTGGGGGGGCAGACGGGAGGGTATAAAATCTACGAATGGCTGACATTTCAGAAACGGGCCCCGCCTGAAAGCACCCGCAATAGACCTTGTCTTCCGGAGGAGGGGGGGGTATTCATAGTCGTGCATGCCGTAGTCGTTAGACCAGTGACCTCGCATCCCTACAAAGCCGGGACGGAGCACGCCGGGTTCTCACCGGACCAGGATCTCACATCACCAAGCGCGAAGCGCCGTGAGGTATTCGGCGAGTCGTATGAAGGGTGCCCTGCATCCTGCTAAGGGTGTTCGGCATCTTGTGCTTACTTCCTTGGGTACGGATGACAGCTGCGTATGACTTAATTTATTTTCTGGTGCTTTCACTTCCAGAGACAGTTATAAGCACTGTGTTAGCTGCCTCGAGGATGCTTGACCATTTTAACACAACGTGGTGCGATCGTCCCCCTTGCGCGGAATGAGGGTTCTCGACCCCGCACAATATGATCTACTCGACCACCATCATGGTTACCGCAAAAAATAAACCCAGAGGCAAAAACAAAAGGAAGCGAAAACCTGGTTGCCGAGCTCACGAAGTTATCGGCTTGATTTACAACGTCGTTGACAAGCGACGAAAACCCAAACCCGGTGGCAAACACCGAGGGCGGGGCTTGTTTTACAACGTCGTTGTCAAGCGACGCAAACCCAACCCCGCTGGCAAGTACCGGGGGAAGCCGGGGGACGGGGAATTTGTGTAATTGGGCCCAGAAAAACAAGAGTTCAAGCACAAAGCACGGAATACCCTGGCCAAACATTGACTCAGCGAAATAATAAGTGTGATTAGCCTGGAAGAAGCAGAGCTGATTGGTCGAAGCCCACTTCCGCCGCCCTACCGTGTCACGTAGCCCGGGGTATACCCGACCGCGAAACTTTCCCGTCTTTTCGCGTCAATTGTGCCGTGAGGTTTCGAGTTGTCCCTCCCAGACGGGAAACGGGACTTTCACGGGCCACGCTCTATCCAGAAGTTGCGTTCTGTTCCAATCAAACGACACCAAAAATGAATCTTCCAGCCCCAAACATGTGATGACAACCGAATCCCAAATCTGAGACACGCTCAATTCTTGAACAAAGCATTCCATGCGGCATACCGACTAACGCAGACTATTCATGCAGCATTCCAAAAGGGCAACGGGTAGAGGTGTGATGACAGAGAGAGGGACACCGACAAACACGTACTAAAGGAATCGGCGTGAAAAGGAGAGCGTGAGGGGAGAATAGCTGCAGTGAAGACTTGTCCGTGACTGCCACGTCATGGTAGTGAAGACTTGTCAAACATTTCAACTTGACACCTGAAACACAGACAGCCACGCTGCTGGAATGAAGGCCGCCTGAATCCAAACCCCTCCACCTACAATTTCCTTTGTAGTGATCGAGAACGTTCGCACGTTGTGCGAATCAACAGATAGTACGACATACGGATTTGATGTGCGTTGAATGGGTCAGTGAAACATGTGGCGTGTCTTAAACCAAATCCATTTCGTGAGGATTCGTTTGGTATGTTTACACGCCGCTCCCTCTGTCGGATACTACAAATCCGTCCATAACTCTTTCGCATTGCTGCAAGCCATGCATGCTCTGTTTCAGTCGGCGTGTCGACAAGTGTGCATCAAACCGAGGATAGCGTCTGGGATTTCGGTTGCCATCCAGTGTTTTGAGCGGTGAAAGATTCGTGTTTGGTATCCTTTGGTTTGAGCAGAAATTGCGTTCTGCGACAAAAGCAGACGAATGTCATTTCCTGTCAGGACACAACGACAGAGCAAGATTGTCGCGGCAGGGTATACCGTGAGCTTTTGCGACACTGCACGAGTGAAAGTGGGCATCGACCAATCAGTGGGGCTCATTTCACGCTGATGAGACATGTGTACTGGGTTCTGCTGAGTAGCTTTGACAGGGTGTGTCGTGTCGTGTACCAGAATAATCAGATCTCAAACACCAGAGCGCGCGGCCGAGACTCACGAACACAACATTGTGGAACAAGCCTCACACATCGGTCGTGCCGGTTCGTTAAAGTGCCACGGACCGCGTGCCGTGTATCCGCTGATCCCGAAAAAACACGGTTTTGGCGGGACGAAAAACACAAAATATCATATCCTGAATGAAACAAGCCGATACGGCGCTCCTCAAACTGTGGGGTCTCCTGACCGATTGTAAGACACACACACGAGCACGATCACCACCTTCCACACCGAAAACACGGTTGCAAAGCGACATGGTGGAGAAAATGAGCATGTACGCAATCCGTAGGGGGCAGCTGCGGATGTAAATGCCGAGTTTCCGACAATACGTGCGGCCGAGCAGCCCATCGATCGAAGTGGCACGCAAGTTTCACCTTGACTGCCCCAGTAGAATCACCAATCTCGGCTTCGAAACCAGCAGATGACATCGAGCCTGTGTGCAACACAGAGCACGGAATGCAACAAGCAAGGCACCGTTGTTTCAAATGTACTAAAGGTTTCAGAAATAAGGCATATAGGTGGCACGGCCGCACTCGCCTACATCGTAGAGCACGGACTGTCATTCACCACAGGGCCAATCATAGTCCTCCCTACCCTTTCCTTCGTTTCCCGGCATTTTTTTTCCCCGAATCCTTGCCACCTCTTTTGTTGCCATTCAGCCTTACCCCAAATATGGTGATCGAAAAAATGGGAACAGCTAGGTGCTGCACGGGTCAACCAGAGGGTAGCGCATCACAAGGTGCCGTTAGGTGATAAAAATGCCTCGGACAAACCCATCGACTGCATGGGACACATGTTCCTGCGCGTAGTACTCACACACATTCCAACGATTTATGCTACAGTAGCTGGCCTGATAGAGTGGCAACCTGAACAGCAGCGGAATTGCCGATATAGCGGCATCAAAATCTCTTGTCACAATTTCGATCCTATATAGCGGCAAGAGGACGAAGCCCGAAACAACGGCACTTAAGGGTATCTCACACCCCCATAAGCGGCAATTCCAAACGTGCGAGCCCCCATGTGGTTCACCTGTGCGCACCAAAACACACATACCCAGCGGGTGCCACACGTATCATGCCACTGATCGGATCTAGAACTTTGTTAATTCCCAAACCGACCAGGAGAGCACGGGCACCAATGTCGTTAAACCGACATGGTAGTGGACATCAGAGCGTTCACCCAATCATAGTGGAGATAGTCGGTAGACGCCTATGGCTGCAAAGACACTGTGTGACAGTTGGGATTGATGGGTCGGTGGGGGGTGTTCGAGGTTTTCTGCTTGGTTGCTCCTGTTGGTTTCGCGTACTACTGTACACTGTTTCAAAGGGAATTCTCCTTGGTCCGAACCCCGCCTTACATGGCCCACCGGATGAAATAAAATTGCGAAACACACTGCTGCGGTGTGGTTAGCTTTTCTCAACCTGCCTACGCAGTTGTAGACAAGGCTGTGGCCGCAAACGAATGGCATCGCTGTCGCTTGAAGAATAGTATGTACCATACCACGGTATGTATGTACTTTACACGTGAATGGCCGAGATCAACTCTGTGCTTCGTTTTGAAATGCCCAACCAAGACTACAGAGGAGGACCACTGCTGCTGCACGTCAAACACCGCATCTTCGTTGTCTACATATGCCCATAGATCAACCGCTTCCTGCGCACAGACAAGGTATATCCAGTCAATCGCTGCCGTGCCACAGCGCGGCTCTGCGTCGCTGTGCAACTTGATCTTCTTTGCGACCCTGCAGCGGAACCCTCCTACATTCATCACTCAGAACAATTAAACATCGTCATCCTGCGACTGCACTTTTTTCGCAACCACCTGCTTTTTTACACTTCGTTACTTCGCCATTTCTTGCACCATGGCTGGTGTTGGCGTTAACGCAAAGCATCGACAACGTCGTCTTGCAAATTGTCGGGAATATATGTCGAGCTGCAAGCATGCAGCACATCACCCGGACCACATCTGTTCCTGCGCTAGGCCAATTAATTCACAATACTTCAATCGCGGTCTCGCCGCCCGCCCGGGGGGCCAATCGTTCCGCCTAGTATATGGAGACGAACAAAAAAGTACAAATTAATCGATGCGGCAGCATTAACGATACCATGTGTTCTCACGTCGCCTCAAGGGCGCTATGCCCACTTAACACACGGAGAGAACCTTGTATATCATTTTTTATCTGGATGACTTCCCGTGCAATGGCGGTATTTTTCGGGGCCCGCCGCCCTCACGGCGTCGGGACCTGTTAACCCTTATGTGACTACATGCACGATAGCAATACGATAACATTGTGTGCCGAAGATCGCTGGCGTGCCTCGCCAAAGAGAAATAAACTGCACCGCAAAGGCCAGCAGAGAGACCAAGAGGCAGCCCACCACACAAGCACGCACATGAGCAATGTGCGCAGGGGTACACGCAGTACTATCATTTGTACAACAGTAATGTCGCTTATGTGGGGCAGATATGTCCTTTCTTTCCAGACCCAATCTACCGCCTACTGCTGCAAGATCCAGACGGATAATACCACGGGAGGGTACATACAGCACCCTCAACATGTGATCAACCCGGGGTCCCGCTTGCGAGATGGAAAGCAGAGATACCGTACCCCGGAGCCGATGCTAACGTACTGCCTCGGTGCCTGATGCAGTCATGACTGCGGTGTGCGTGGTCCAGAATATTGGGAGTGAAGGAGGTGCGGGTGCTGTGTGCAATTTTCGCTCAAGGGAAAGGGTTTTCGGGACTACATACATGATAACCCATATACGGGTTGTCGTCATAGTCTATACACAGTGTGATGGGTGCATGTTGCGTGGGACAGCAGCTGCTTGGGACAGCAGCAGCAGTGCATAGACTGAGATGCCTGGACGCTGTGCACGTCGACGAGTTACCATTACCTGCAGTGACAAGCACATAATAGGTCGCAATACCCGTCTGCTGCACCGCAGAGGGACGGTAAGAGGTTGTGTGTATCGTACAGTCTCTCTCTTGTGAATCGCGGATCTGGTGTCCTTCGACGCTGTATTGTTGTTGTGCATATCACACGCTACAGTATGTCCTGTGCGGTTCTGCCCCCGTGACCTGCAATGACACAACGGCAGAAGGGCACATGTTCTCTGTACAGCAGTGGGAAGCTGTGTGGATCTACAGACCTCAGGTTTTTTCCACACATGCATATCTTCAGAAAAATTCCAAGAAACACGGAAAATTTGTGTTGATAAAATCCTTCAGTATTTTCTAGTACTGTAGTGCGTCCGACGATGACATTCCTACAAATTGATACTGCTGCTACTTATTGTTTCCCACGTGAACGGCAGTAGCGTACCAACAGGCAATGAGCAAGGCGTCCAAATTACCTAGATGATCTTTGGGCCCAAGATGCGCCCGATTTCAAGGCCCCGACCAACCCAGGGCCGAAGCCTATAAGCCAGTCACGGGAACAGGGTGCGCCTTGTCAAACGGCAGAACCCGCCACCGTGCGGTGCCCACGACTGTAGACAAACGAGCTCTAAAATTCTGCCGCAACCAGCATCTCGCGGCTATTTGCACACGACGGCGACTCACCAACAAAGAAGCAGACGAAGATATCGCAGTGGGACGACACCAAGTGCTCGTCCCTCCGCGATCTCCCGTAGAGTCCCACCCAAGCTTACAGCAAGAGAGGGTGTTAGAGACGGTGCCTGTTTGGGAAGGGGTTGCAGAAGAGGGTAGACTACTCCTACGCTTCTGGAACCACGAATACCACACCAACCAAGTGAAAGCAATTGCTCCCTTCCGGGGCGGCTATGTTCTCGGGCGAGCTTCTCTGACGAAGTTCTCTCTGGCACGGCTGCGGGCTGCGGGGAAGGTGAGCGGGAGCTGGAGCGCTGATTAGCCGAGGCGCCGATTGGCCGAAGCCAACCTTCCACCCGCCCCTGAAGAAAATGAGAGAAGGCGTGTGTCACAACGCTCTCCTTTGTCTCTGCGCTCTATGTAGCTCTCCTCGCGCTCGGGGGAAGTCCCCACAGCCCTGACCAGAGGAACTTTGCCTAGAGCAACTCACACGGAGAACGCAGCCGCCGCAGAAGGGACTAATTACTCCGACGATACCTCTTGGCGGGTGTGATATTGGATCAACCAAAACAGGCAGCGTCGCTGACGCCCTCTGTACCTGCTGCATGCGGCGTGCTTCAGCGGGTAACCTCCGGCCGGTCGAGGACGAGCATTCGGTGTCCTCCCACTGCCATACATTGGCCTTTCCCTTTGTTGGTGAGTCTCAGTCCTTGGCAAATGGCCACAAGTTGCTGGCAACATTGGGTTTTACAGTGCAGCTGTCTAGAGTAGTGGCTCACGGTGGTGATTGGGTTTGGTTTGGGTGGCAACACCCTGATCCTGTGATGCTGGTCCCGAAGTCTCTCAGTATTGGAGCAGTTGGCTGTAGTGGGACACCTTGTTCATGACCTACTGCTGTATCACTGCCCTTCACCTGGGGAACAGCACGTGGTACTGTACTATGTACCGTAGACGACACAAGATAACACTCCCCGGTGATGACATTTTCCTACAGCACTCACACTTCGGGGATACAGCACTCAAATGTCTATTTACCGCTGGTGGGGTGTTTAGCCCTATCCACCCCGCCGGTGGGGCATACACTATGCATTGCGTTGTTTACCCCACCGGCCGTGGCACCACCAAACCTTTAGCGTTCGACCTCACCATGGAGATCACGATAGCCCTGCAAAGCAGCAATACATTCGTACATGTCTTGTGTTAATTGGAGTCTTGTAGGGCTACATACGGCAGTGGGGAAGTCTGCCTGCAAGAGAATAGAAGGCAGTGTTCGCTACCCACTTCGGGTGTTTGGCGTCATGCGGCGGGATTTCTTGACCTGTTCGGCGCTCCAGGTGCTGCCCGCTGCTGTGCGCTGTGCGTGCATCGACCACACACTCCTACAGGTGGTTGTGTGTCGATTGGGGCCTTGTAGAGGGAGATCCAGCTGGTGGGGTCAATAAGGTTATCGACCCCACCAGTGGGGTAGCGGCGGTATATGCCCCACCAACCGTGGCACCACGAAAACTATGCCGTTTCGGCCTCACGATGGGTCCAATGATAGCCCTGCAACGCAGCAGCGCACCCGTTGAAGTCCTGAGCTGATTGGAGTCTTGTGGAGCGAGATACAGCCGGTGGGGTGTTTAAGCCTTAACCACCCCACCGGTGGGGTGGTTAAGAAATTACCCCACCGGTGGGGTGTTTAGCCGTGCCGTTTTCCTTTTTCCGACCACAATGGTTGATCTCAACAATCGAAGCTGCGATCTGTTGGCCTTGGAATTTCCACCTGATTCTGTGGTTTCCAGAGTTATTGTTGTTTTTCCGTAAGATTGCCTTAGGGATGGGAGTCATTGGCTAATGGGATATCTTGTTCATGACCGCTGCCCTTTTCCTGGGAAAGCATTGTAGCACAGGACTATGGCGTGCGTGCATGGCTTCCCCGATTTTTTGTTCTGAATTCCCCGGAACCGCAGCAGCTGCATGGCATACTCAGCAGCAGCGGCAACGGCCGCAGTCGAAGCAGCAGCGGTGGCCGAAGCTGCTGCAGCAGCCTTGGAATCAGACATAGACTCGCTTGGTCATGAGAGACAGGTGTGCCCTTTTCAGATCAGTTCGTGTTGCTGAACG